GTCAAGTGGGAGCTCATCCAATTCTGGAAGTGTCACTGCACAGAGGAGTTTCTAATGAAAAATGCAAATAACGACATTATTTGCTTCTTGAATGTGCATAAATATAGTATGCAAGTTTTACTTGAAGGCGATTTAATATGTCTTATCTCGTCCATCACAAAAGATATTTTTGAACTTTTTCTCTAGAAAATTGGCGTTCCGTAAATTGTTTCCTGCATAGGACTACATCATTTTAAGAGCAAACATTTTATAGCATGTTATGTCATTTCTAATATGCGCCAGACAGTAAAAGGTTAATTTGTTCCTAAGCTTCCTTAGAATTGAGGATTTTCGACGTTTGCAAAGTGTAGTATACTATGTTCATTTTATATATGTTTTCGATATTTAGCACATGGGTGTTGACAATATTTTACACTTAACCTGACAGTGAAATACAGAATACTGTCCCGCGTTTAAAATTGTTTATTGCTGTTATAGGGTACATATAAGAAACATTTTCAAATTTGTTCATACTGAAGCATAACGTTGTAAGTAGTAGGTATTAATGCTACGGTGGTTTCCGGTGGCAGATATTGCTGATAGGTTCACTGGTACGATCATCATTGTAAACGTTAGGAACAAAAGAAATGGTTGACATTAGTGAATGAGTTGGGTTTTACGCCGCTTTAAACGGTATTCCGGTTATCGTGCAGCGCGTCAGCAAAGTGTGAATGGAATGCCCAAAGAGACATACACGTAGTTAGAGGATTGTGAAAATATCATTTCTTAGCAAAACAAGTGGATGGTTAGACATACTATTTCGTACCTTTAGCCAAATAACCTCTATAAACACATCGTGTGTTTTCATCTCTCCCTATATTTGTCGTTTGAGTAATGTTATTTTAAAGTTTAATTCTTATAATTATCATCGATTCTTAATGATTTATTGCTTGTCTGATACAGCAATACAATATATATTTCAACTCTGTAAGTCTTTCTCCAACAAGTAAAAAGTACGTCTAAACATATACAGGTTCCGTGATACTTCAAAGACTTCGATAATGCACTTCTTAATCTGACTAATAAATGAACCTGGCAAGTAGATAGTATAAACATAGATAACAATTATCCATAGAATGATTGTTATCGAACGTTTTTACTCCGTGAAAGAACATTTCTTCTTAAAACGCGCTTGGCATGTAAGTGGGATTCCTGTCTGTTGGAGCCAATTAGCTACGTCACTGTGATGTGGGAACATACACGTTTCTCTCTGCAACATATGCTGACTAGAACCTTTAATCAGTGTGTATCATCAGCAATATAACCTTCTTTGTAGTATAGTCTTCTTTGTAACCAACGACCTTGGAATAGACACCTAGCCAGTGTCTCTGTGTGCCAGGACAATACCGCACATAACATCATGCCATCGGGAAGAGGCATGACACTATGTTACAAAGCAAACGTCAACCCTGTTCGAGAACACACAACTGGCTTCCATTACTTTAACACTATGGAGCACTCACGATAGCTTGTTTTGTGTTCGCAAACATACCGACTACAGAACGATAACTGTGTCATATTCTTAGGTCATACCCTTTTGAAAATCGGAAGAAAAACGAGTGAACAGATCATTCTCAATGTTTAAATAGAATAGCATGTTATGTCACATTCTTATTCTCGGCAACTTTGAACACTTTGTGGGACCATGTAACACAATATTCTATATAAGTATATTACTGGACATGTATGGTCTGAGTATGTATGCTCGCTTTCTCACATCGCGAAGCATTTTATCAAACCTTTAAACCTTTTAAAGAAATATGATAGCATGAACAGTCACACTGCAAGAGCTGCACAACTCAATGTGACAGGGAAAATACCATTTCTTAACGCAAAATTGGGAAGTAAATTCAAAAGTCAATGTTTCTCCAAGATAATCTGCGGTAAAAGCTAGGGTAAATCTTTCAACTAGTAACGCATGAGCGCGGTTCTTGCTCTATGAAATGGAAATAAATATGATATTTCTTTTGCCACAAGGCTATCTGGTATCAGCACCGTGCATGGCCTACACTAGAAACCCCGGAAGTAGCCTCATCGGCTCACTATCGCATATCCTGGTGCCATGATAAAAAGCTGAAATTGTATATGGCACCTTTTCATGTTAAACTCGTTAATGATCACGAGACAAACCTATCCTATAAAAGTGGTCGTTTTGTTTATCTTGTTGGCTGTCCAATCGAAGATATGCATATACGTATTGCTTTCTTGCTTTTACAAGAAATAAACTCGAATAGATTAAATATATATTTAATCACGATATACGACATTCTTGTAATTCTTGTTATCTCTAAGATGTTTTTTAATGTGGACATTTTTTATGAAATTGATACCTGAGATTCAGTGCTAGGATGCTTTATTATTTTCATCTTCGATCTCCCTGAATGCCAGCATAGGCTGGATTCTATAAAAACGTAGACGTTTTTAAATGCGTGGAAAGAAATTCGCTAAAAAACAAACACATCATGTTAAAAGTACAGAAACAGAACTACCGGCAAGATCTAAAGAGGTGTTCACACGAAATACAGCAATATGATTCATAATATTTCGATTAATAATGTCATGTCATTTGATGTAGTCGTTATGCAGCGTTCAAATACTCTGCTCATATGCTCAGATTTAACAAATTGCAGAAATTACAATGAAGGCAAAGTTATTCGTCTGTAATCAAAAGATATTTAAATATTGGTTGCAATTAAATCCTTCCTTGATTAAGCTAACCTAATGGTAAATCCGCCATGATGACGCCTGCGTTATTTATGTCCTGAGCTGTCAAGGAATAAATCTGCACTGGTGTGCCCATTTGGGAGATAAATTAGATTAATTAGTGCGGGGGCATTTGGGCCGTGGTTGGATTCTGATCAAAGACTTTTCTTGTACACATTACCAGTGATTTAGTAATTTGTATTCTAAAATTGCGACAAAAATGACGTACCACGGAGGAGTAATCACATATGGGTAATCAGAAATGTGATAATTAAATGACAATGACAAATCTATAACATTCTAATGATCTGTCACAGATTTAATCTGGTTTAATCACCGAGAGTATGACCTGTTGCAAAAAAGAGCGCATTAATAACATATTTACCATATACATAATATTTTATATTATTCGGGCTATTAATCAACCTGCATCTGTTATGATATTCTATTAATATCATTTTCAACCGTATTGATTGTTAAGTCAGAATGTGCCCAAAGAGACATGTATCATTTTCCAAGTAAGCAACAGCTCAGTTGACACTGGCGTCGTCGCGTAAGGTCTTATTTACATAAAGGTCAGGTAGAAGTACTAAGCCCTACTCGTCAGAATGAGAATGCACATAAAACCATCTGGCCAACAAGGAGATAACCACCTGTTGCTAACGAGCCTCAACGGTAGCAGTTTTACCTGTGCAGAGTACACCTGTAATGCATTGCACTGACATTGCTCAGTCTCCATGTCGTGGTGTGGGAAAGTATGACCATATGTCAGTTAAGAATGTAGCGATTTATCAAGGAACAAAGGCGTATATGTTCTATTCTTATCTACATACGGAAAAAAAGGGGTGATGAACAGTTATGAAACACAGCTGTCGGAGATTTATTATAATTATTATATCACTTTCATAGGTAAAGCCTTCCCTTCAGTGGCACGCACAGACGGTTAGCGCCGTCTTGTCTTACACGCCATGAATTATTGAAGGCCACAATGTATGTAAAATGAGTTTTTATTCCTATTCAAAATATTATACATTAAATTGTAAGAAACACTCCTATATATATATATACTAAACAAAAATGTAAGGGATCATGAATATTATGGGGGATATTTTATTATATTATATTTTATGGGTTCTCAATCTTCACTAAAATGGACTATCCCGAAAAATATTTATGACCCCTAACTATTTTATTCAGAATATATAAATATATCATACAGTCAAAGTATTTCTTTGTATTTTTCTTTCTGTTGCTGATTATGGAATGTTGCTTGCCTTACTTGCCTATTTTTACCACCTAGATTTCATTCTTTTAACTTAATGTATATATTCCACACTCATGGTGCCACACTACACGTCAATGTGAATCAGGATGAAATATACCAAGATAAAAGCTTCTTAAACCACATAATGGATCAACAATGTCTAAGTATTAACAAAGTTAATGCGGTGAGCCCCGCCAGTTTTCGTATATATCATTCAAACCTGGTTTAAGATCAATATTTACCTTGTCATTAAATACCTTCTGTGACAAGAGTTTAGGATTCCCGGAGGCTATGGACGGTGGATTTTCCCTTGTAATCTTAGATGTTATCAAATATTTATCTTCTTGTCTATAAACAAGTAAATGTAATCTAAGTTATCACTTCATTTCACTAACACTGAACGTCTTACGACAAAACTTAAGAGATGTATTTTGAGACGCATGCTGCTATGAACCTGCAATAGGGTATTTCAGTCCATCTCCCTGATGTAAACATCGCTGCCTACCACGTGTTCTGTACAGCACTGACGTCTCTGGTTGTTATATTAGTGTGATGATAAGTGGCACTGTGAGTCTTGAAAATGGACCCCGAGGCTTCTAATACAATAGATATGCCTGACCATGTGTCATCTAGTCATAAAGTAGGACTTTGTGTGTGTTAATCACATATAGTATTACAATATCATATAAAGCAACGTGATACATGATTGCATAAAACCATTTGTTGACATCAGCTGATTCCACGAGTTAGAGATAAATTGAACCTGCAGACATACATCGACAAATGACATTCATGTAATCTCATTCAGTTAGTTAACAATAACGTGGCTTTACTTCTTTCATTCTTCCGAGGAAGAACTCGAGGCATAACAGATAGGGCCGCCGATGGCTGGTAAAAACCTGGTCGATACACCATTCACTGAATAGCGAAAACCGTACATATACGACGGACAACTGTCACAATGTATCGACAGATAGAAATAAAGAATGCCTACCGTTGGAGCTTGCACAGATCTTTGAGTAAAGCTTGTATTGCTAATACCGCTCCCTTAGGTTTGCTCCTGTCGCCTCGACGCATACTCCAATCCGCAGAATAGGAACAACTTTCGTATTCCAGTAGTGCTTAAAGCGACTGCCTGACTTCACGTGTGTACGATACAAGTCCGTGTTCAGCGTGGCTGAGGCAACAGCGGTGGTTGTGTCCGTCCGTCCCGCTAGTCAAGCGAGGAGGCGATGAGGCGAGCGGTGGAAATAGGTCACAAGCCGACGGTCTTGCTACCCGTCAATTACTTCACTCCAACTCAGCACGAGTTGCTGTGTCAGTCTGGATGTGTCAGACCTTGCTACAAACTTGTCTAATTGCCAATCAGGACATTGCTCAGGTTCGATCTCGGTTGAAGCGATAGCTGACAGAGTCGAGTTGCTACGGAGTTGGGAGGCAATTTCCGCGTCGCTGGCCTATTCTTGTATTTATCATGTTTATGTATGGAGATGATTATCCAAGTGTTCCCAAAATATAACCGAGTGTGTCGGGTCTCCTTTTAAATGACCAGTCAGTGACCCACGACTACCGCCTTGTGTGCAACCATCAGATCTCGGGAGCGTGTTATCAATGGGCGGGATTTACATCACGCGAACATTACCACAGTGTACCATCTTTGATATGACCGCGGTCTCTTTGCAGCCACTAAGTGGACACATCCGGAAATGGAATCCAATTTTTCGGGGTATGAATAATACTGGATATGAGCCTCCTGAACAAGATTTATCGACAAACAGCTATCGACAGCGGCGCTAGGAGCATGTTGTCTCGGCCGATAAAAATCCTCACTCACAGGTCACTCTATCATATTTCAGGGACTGTGATGGGTTCTAATTGTCCGGAGAAGTCCCTGTGGTTTTAAGGTGAAGGCACTTGAAGCAGCTAGTCAGTGGTGAGAACAAACACGCAGACACGACCGTCTTGTGGGGCCCCGTATTCTCGTGGCAGTTGGGGGACACAGAAGCCATAAAGTACGATAGATCGTGGCAGTCAAAGGGCTGCAGTTCCCTAGGGGTACCGATGTAGTATGCTACTGACATTGCCCTTGTCAACTTCTGACGGCGAGGCTGATTTGATCTACGTACATACTGCTGCTATCCACTCTTGATGTTCCTCATCTCTAAACAATATTTTTACATATGATGAAGTTCTTTTCACACCATGTTATGGTCAGCAAATCATACAGTATTTTCCCCACAGCTGTAGACTATCACCTTTATCATGATACTGTAAGTATATGCAGTTACTTGCAAACTTAGACGATAGTGTACGTCCAGATACACTTATGGCCAGTTACACCACTTATGGATAATGGACATTTGACCATCTCGAACAATTTGACCATCATGGTTGACATACCATGCGGGGACTTTGATAGTTATGTTCGTTTCGTTTGTTTGTCGTTTAACGCCGCACTCAGCAATATTCCAGCTATGACGGCGGTCTGTAAATAATCGAGTCTGGAAAAGACAATCCAGTGATTGATGTCATGAGCATCGATATACGCATTCGGGTATACGATGACATGCATCAACCAAGTCAGCGATCCTGACCAACCGATCCTGTTAGTCGCCTCTTACGACAAGCAAGGTCGCCTTTTACGGCAAGCATGGGTTGCTGAAGACCTTTTCTAACCCGGATCTTCACGTTATTTTTACGGCTATGATTTCGCTTGACGTCGGTAATATATGAAAGACAATAAGATTTTGAGTGAGTTTGGGTCAACGCCACTTTAAGCAGTATTCCAGTTATATCACGGCGTGTGAGTTTAATGTGGAAGGAAAGCCCGAAGTGATGCAGGTCTCAGACGTTTTCTATTTTAGTGAAACCAACGAACACGGAAACGTAATCGGGCCTAACTGGGATTCGAAACCAACAATCATAAGTTTCGGGCGTTTCCAAGAGACGCCACTCTGCACAACGAATTGCGGTGCTTTCGACGACTGGGCCACCCGTGCCCCGTTTGTGTGATGGTATTTTACAGGCACATACATTGACTCACACAATACAGTTAGGTTTCGGCCACTTTGAAGAGTATCTTGTTATGCCACGGCGTCTCAACACGAGCCGTTGATACTTAGGGCATTGGTAATACCAATACGGGTATTGTGCTAACTAAAGTGCTAGCTGGGATTCGAACCCACGATCAGCAAATCCTGGCACGAATGAGGGAGTCAAATCTCCATGGTGAAATTAAAACAAATACTTAATTAAAAATTCATTGATTTCGAATTTCAACAACAAGCACATTCATGTGTTTCTCATGAAACCTTTATCCTTGTTGTATCCTTGAAGATATTATTCATTCAGAAACCGTTTAGTTTTTTTTATAAAGAATAGGAAAAAAGAATATCAAATGTACTTTACTAACATACCCACTGCACCGACACGGTACGCACGAACATGCACACAAGCGGCGTACTATCGCTCCTACATACGCATATAAACGCACGTATGTATACCACACTAAGCATCCATCCTGCTGTACTAAGTCATATTTAATACATAACTCAAAGTGACGCATCACGACACAATGCATGCATGGTGTTTATAAAAAGTGGATTAATGTCTGCCCCTTTGTAATATCAACACATATGAAATTCAACAATAGGATTAGTATCGATGGGGAATATTATTCCCTATTTCCATACAGTGATGTATATACGAACTGAAAAAGTTTAATAGAATGATTGTTTGTTTGTTTGTTGTTTAACGCCGCACTCCATCTATATGACGGCGGTATGTAAATAATCGAGTCTGGACCAGACAATCCAGTGATTGATATAATGAGTATAGATCCGGGCAATTTGGATACAAGGACTTGCATCAACCAAGTAAGCGAGCCTGACCACCCGTCGCCGCTTACGACAAGCATAGGCACCTTTTCGGGAAGCATGGGTTGCTGAAGACCTTTCTATCCCGGATCTTCATGGGTCGAAATTGAATGACTACTGCATGGATGCTATGACTGATCGTGCAATTTTTGTTTTAAATTTATATAGTTAGTTAACTAGACTTTGGTATAATGAGATCAGCGTAAATGTCGCCGTTGTAATGATAGTCAGCACACTGTTACCCCTGTACATATGGGCAACAGACACTTCTAAAATTTGAAACTAAAGATCATTCAAGCTGAGAAATGTACCGATAAGCTCCCTTGTGACATTAAAATTGATACATTGTCGCACGTTGATCTTTAGAAATAAAAGGTTAATTTAATTTGGTAACATGTTAACGCTGAGGTGGTCGTGACACCTAATGTTAACCATTGACTTGCAATAGCCATAGCACTGCAAGCGCTTTTTGGAACGGAGCCCTGCTGCACAAGAATGTGCGTTATCTTAATGCTGCATGTCTGCGAACATCAAGTGTGCAGCTGCAAGTTTTGTTTGTTTATTTGTTATTTAACTCCGTACTCAGCAATGTTCTCGTTATATGACGGCGGTTTGTAAATAATCATGAGCATCGATCTACGCAATTGGGATACGATGACATGCATCAACCAAGTTAGCGGGCCTGACCAACCAATCACGTTAGTCGCCTCTTATGACAAGCATAGTCGCCTGTTAAGGACCCATTCTAACCCGGATCTTCAAGGAGAAGCTGCAATAAGAGTGAGTGAGCATGGTTTCACACCGCTTTTAGCAATATTCCAGCAATATCGCGGCGGGGGACACCAGAAATGGGCTTTACACATTGTACCCATGTCGGGAATCGAGCCCGGGTCTTCGGCGTAACGAGCGAACGCTTTAAACACTAGGCTACCCGACCGCCCCAGCTGCAATAAGAACGGATACCAGCGATTCGGATTTATAGTTGCGTTAGAGTCATCGTTAAATGTGTTCTCAGCATCAGCATCAAACACAGCATAATTGTTAATATTATCATTAAAGGTGTCGTGATCACCATTGTGAGATCTAGTCAGAATTCATAGCAGTATACATTTTCAGAGGCAATAGTTTAATCACCATAAAAGTCATCCTCCCAATTTTTATGAGCCGTTTGAGTAGGTCTATAGTCAGAGCATTGTGCCTCAGTAGAATATCTGGGTGTCGATCTATAAACGGTACTGTATGTAGCCTCACAATTTGTACAAACGTGAAATCAATAATTTATAGAACTGACGAAACATGACTCTCTTCATTTTCATAACCACATGACGTGGACATGAGTGAGTGAGTGAGTTGGGTTTTACGCCGCTTTTAACAATATTCCAGTTATATCGCGGCGTGTCAGCTTAATGTTGGAGGAAAGCCCGAAGTGATGCAGGTCCTAGACGTTTACCACTTCGATGAAACCCACGAGCACGGGTATGGTGCTGACAAACCTAGAGACATAATCGGGGCGAAACGGGATTCGAACCCACAATCATAGGTTTCTGGCGTGTTCAAGGGACGCAACTCTGCACAGCGAATCGCGGCGCCTTAGACGACTGGACCACCCGTGCCCCCTGACATATGAGTCCTTATCCTCAACCATCAACATCAACACCAGCACAACATCAGCACAGTCATCTGCCAAACATCTGCACCGTGTCGTTGGCGATGTCAACGTGACTATCGTGCAGTGGTGAAGTCTAGCACGCTCACCCTCACAGCACCATTTATTCCCGGGGATTCACGCTTATCCCTTATCAATTAAACTCATGTCAAGAAGGGTGACAAGAGACAAGTTTCGTGGTGTGGTCTGACTTTGTACCCGGCCTTGGTGTTATATGTTAGTTGCCACCTTCCCACGGATAGCGTGACCCTGGCCACATCCCTGATTCTGCAGAAATTCAACCTAGGTCACCGTAACTGTCAGTAGTGGAATGTAACTAAAAACAAAATCCTTCAAATGCATTCATAGATAATAAAATTAAACGAGGAGTGATGATTGCAAGAACAGTATAACAATTGTTACGCCACGTTTATATAATGTGAACAGAACGAGATTCGCAGTTCTCTTGAGCAACTCGCATGTGTTATTTTGACAGCTTTAGAGCCAGAGCCAGAACACTTCGCTTGGGGTTTTAATTTTATGCCTCACATAACTGCCTGGCAATTTTTCCTCTGTACATCTGAAAACGCTTTTATATTCACAGACGCAATGCAGTTTGCACATTCTATTGTTCTCTTTTAAAGTTCTAAGCAGAAATATGACAATATAAACACACAGTATCTTGATTCAAACGTAAACAGGGACACTGAAGGTCATGGCACTCGGTGGCGAATGAGAAAAACAGCGGGCAGTCTTGGAGACAAACAACTTCACTGTACCTGTTGGATTACTGATGCTAAAAAAACATGCCTCATCGTGATTCTAGTTT